CTCCAGCTGGCCCTGCCATGTAAACCCGTTACAGGTTCCAGGACCACTCTGAAGAAACCGTGTTTGTCTCCTTGCATTTATCGAAAGGATGTCCCTGATCCACAATCTTCCAAGCTGGTGTTTCAAAACAGTAATGAATCCTCCAAATGGGGCATACAATGCGAACACAGTTCATTCCTGAGGTGGTCAGATGGGTGGTCGGTGGTCTGTGATTTCAGCCGTTGACGTCCCACATTGCGACGTCCTGCGGTTGATGTGATCTTCATGAGCAGCAGTTCACTTTTATCAGAAGCCGTTAACTTCAAAGCACTCACAGGAACCTACTGGGCTCTCCCAGACCGACAACCCACTCATTGTAAACTTATCCTACTGTCAATGAGGTTCTTGCAAGGTCACACTTTTTGTAACCACAATAAAAGTAAATATGGGATAACTTATGAACATTTATTCTAACACGGTGCTTTCCAAAGTCTCATTGACAATTTTGTCATGAACAAACAAGACTGATTCACTGATCTTTTCTGAACCGTCTGGCTGGTAAGCAACCGCTGGATGAACCTCTTATCGTAATAGTGCTCTGGATCTCGGCGCATGATGGCAACAGGAGGAGTTGCGGCAGCATGGGGGCAAAGTGGGTGGGGGGGGTGGGTATGATAAGGTTTATGACTTGGTGTTGTATCACTAGACCACACCGTGGTTACTAGCTGCACAGTAATAAACGCCGCTGATGTTCGGGTGCAGCTCAGAGATGATGATCTTGCACGTTTTGCCGGCTTCCGAGCTCCCCTCGAACTTCACATTCTTCTGGCCATCCTCAAAGTTGGAGATTGTATTGTACCTGTAGCCGATGAGCTGCATGCCCAGGCCGCGCTGTCGGTACAGCATTATCTGGTTGTAGTTCGGTATGTTGTGAAAACACTCGAACCTGACCGTGCGGGCCACTGCCTCAATGAGGTCGGTGGGGTTTTGTGTGACATGCTGTCCTGAAAGACAAAAAAAAAAAAAAATTTTAACCAAACTTATGTGTTTCGTAAAGCCAGAGTAAGCATTGATCAAACATAACACACAAAACAATGAGCTTCGCATAGCATTGCCGTGCCGATGATGTCCACTGTTACCTGAGAGAAGAGCAATGCTGGCAGCAACGCTCAGCAACGACAGGTACATCGCGTCGTCTGGTTCACTTGAGGTTGCTATGATGCACACTCGCAACTCATCTGATAAAAGTGCAGCAGCCGAAGCCAGCGGATTGGCTGGGACCCAGTTGGCTTGTGGCGGGGAAATGTTGCTGTATCA